TCTCTCTCTCTCTCTTTCTCTCTCTCTCTCTCTTTCTCTCTGTCTGTCTTTCTTTTATTTAAAAATTGATACTATGCAATTGTTATTGATTAAACAATAATATCGTATAAGACATTTAAAAAATTGAAATTATAAAATATACAAGCTATAAGCTAATTATCTGTTCATTATTGATAACAAAGAATGTAATAGGCTAAAGACGAGCAAAACAAATATATATATATATTTATATAAATTTAATTTAAAAAGCTAATTTATAAAAAAAAAATCAGCGAAATTAGTTTAGACTTATAAAAATTTTCTTCAGTCGCATATTAATTATAAAAAATAAAATTTGTCAATGTAAAATCGCAAATTACATAATTAAAATAGTCAGAATGAAAGAAGAATTGTCCGTTATCTGTCCTCATGCTTTCTCAAGTTGACGTTTCATGATCTGACTGTAATTTTAATTCTTATTCTTAATGCTCCATATTATAATAATTACATAAATATAGTCGAAATTTTGCTCCTATTTTGAACCTTAGTTTTAGAACACATATGTAGACTAAAAATTTATAATTAGGACGTATGTTTTAGAGATTTATAATAGGTTCTAATCTCATGAATTGAGTTCTTACGTTAAGTAAATGACAGTTATTGGAAAATTTTCTATTTTTAGGTTCAAAAGAAGTTTTTTTAGAAGCTGTAGATCAAAAGTAATATTAAAAGAGATCCTATTTATTTAAGTATCAAAACAGGTTTATAAGGTTTGATTGGGGTTGAAAAATATTGAGAAAGTAGGATTATTTCAACTTAGGCAGAATATATGCACTCGAAACAATATAGAGTGTATGATCGAGAACAGAAACCTTAACCAATTGTAATTTCAATACATCTTGCTGTTTTAATTACGTAATTAATACGGAGAATTATGAATAAGAATTAAAATTACAATCAGATCATGAAACGTCAAGTTGAAAGAGCGCGAGTGAAAGAGCGTGGCATGACAGATGAAGGACACCTTTATCTTTCATTCTGACCATTTCAATTATGTAATTTGCGATTTTGCATTGATAAATTTTATTTTTTGTAATTAATACGTGACTATGTAAAGAAGATTTTTGTAAATCGAAACTAGTTTTACTGATTTTTTTATATAGTGACTTTTTAAATATATATATATATATATACACATATATATAACAATATTCCTTTGCTCGTCGTTGATTTGAATTCTATTGCATTCTTTGTTATAAAATATACTTTATCATTTACAATATTAATTGTCTCAAGTTTTTTCTACAATTAATTAATCTGTAAAGAAAATGTAGAAATTGAACTTTTTAATTTGCGCATAATTTTCTCTATAATAAAAAAAGATCTTCAAATACAATGGCAAAATGAAATATACGCAAATATATGGTGTAATAATAAAGTTCGATGAATGTTATGAAAAATAAACAATTAATATTATATAAAAATAATAATAACTTCTGATAAACTTCTGATAACGTTTGTACAATTTGCAGGAACTTTGTGAAAAGTCATCTTTAAATATCGCTTTAAATCTTATTTTATTCAGTTCTGTATATTGGAAATATTTGTAAATCGAATTCCTTTCATTGTCTTCATTAATTTAGGAAACAAAAAGAAGTTTACTGGAGTAAGATCGGGGAAAGTGATTCAAAACGCCAATGCAATGTTGATTCAAGAACGTACACGTTTTGAATCAAAATCTTAGAACCAGAGTTATAATTAATTAAGTTATAATTAATCATGTATCATTATAGAATCATATATCATGACGTCATTTAATACTTAAAAATAAACTTATAACAACAAGTCATAATGATTATTATGATATTATGATTTGAGTGTTTTACTTGAGATTGTGTGATAACAAGAACTTTTCAAAGAGTTTCCGCAAGTACAAACCTAACTTACAAACACATTCATATGTCTCTAGGGCCGAGGGATTACTTAGGGGAAAGACATTAAAAGTCACTTGTATATTAATTAAGGCCCGGTTGCATCAACATTACGTTAAGCTTAAAATTCTCTCTATCTGTTCCTTTCTTTCGGCTTTAAAATGAAACAGATGCAGTTTTAAGTCTAACTTAAAGTCAAAGTAACGTTGGTGTAACCGAGCCTACGTGTATATTTTCTCATAACATTTATCAAACTTTATTGCCATATTACGTATTTATGAATAAAACAAAATCTCTTGAGCAGCTTTGCAAGTTATGTTATAAGTAGAGGATAGCCCCCTATTATGAGATAGGTTCTCAATATGAGATTGCGGCGTTTCTGTTAAACTAATAGACGCTATCTATTCCACCATGAATTTATTGCTCTTGGATTGAAAACTATTTAGTAGAAAATTCATTATTAGATCATGCCTATAGTCATTGTAAAAAAAGATTTTAAAATTTGGATGTCTTCAAGTTTCATTGAGATGAGCCTCCAGACATTGTTTATTATTTAATAAATAAATATTTTACAATAAATTCTTCATGTAGTGATAGAGTAACTAATAGAAAAATACGGAATATGTTGAATTGCTTAATTATAGAAGTTAGATTTGATGAAAACCATAAGGCATGGAAATCGTAATATGATAATAATATATTCAGGGTATTTTTAATATGAAATATAATTCATGCTCCCATCCAGTGTTGGAACAGGTACCGTTTGAAAGATATCTAGATATAAATATAGGTATTACGTAAAAAAATGTATTTAGATATAAGTACAGATACATTTTTTTATAATTACCTAAGTATATATACAGATATAAGGAAAAAATGTCCAAAAATTTAAG